CAAATTTAGTGGAATGTTCTAAACTAAGCGGAATATTCTCCAGTTTGTACCCGTTTTATCCCATTCGAGCTCCACATTTTGAAATAAGATGATCATAAGATGTGTCATTTGGTTTGTAAATATCAGATTGTGATGCATCATAAATTGTATTTTTGCACAAAACGAGTACAAATTGGAGAACATTCCACGTAATCTTTGACACTATAAGGTTGGTCGTGTAAGAAGGTTCTTAAATGATTGAATTGTTGTAATTACTCAAACATGAGGGGTATTTTCGTAATTCAACCCTATCTAGGGGGTTGGCCGTAATTTACCCTATTTGTTAATATTAGAAGCGTGTAGAAAGTTTCATTATCCACACGGAAAGTAAATATACTAATACCACATTGCATTAATTTCTCAACACGCTTTTCATTTGAAAAATCAAAGTATTGCAGTATTTCTGATTTCCAACAAACAATGACGTAAGAAAGACATTCTTACCCTTCACAAATTAAAAACAATAATGTAAATGATCAAAGTGGGCTCCCAAAATCAAAAGAAAAGGGACAAGTTCATTGAACCTAAATTTAAATTTGAATATAATATAAATTCACTTATTCAAACAGGGAAGACAACAACTGCTTCTGATGATGCATTCACACAATTTTTATCCCAACAACCATTACACTTTTTTTATTCAGTGGGGTTCAATTGCTTTGCCATAAGTATCTCCAATTTTTTTTCAAGAAAAAAATAATAAAAAAATTTAAATCTCAGGGCAAATTACGACCACCCTCTGATGCAAGGCCAAATTACGAAAAAAACCATCATATTTGGAAAATTACAACCACCTCCATCAACTATGTAGTGTCTTGCGAAAAAACGTAAACCTGACACCGTAAGAATAGAACTATGTAATGTCTTGCACAAAAACAATAAAATTGACACCATAAGAGTAGACATGTAAGACAATACATAATTGTACCCAAACATAAGAGGGACTTTTTTGTAATTTGACATTACATCAGGGTGGCCGTAATTTGCCATAAATCTTACACAATCACACAATCCAAACACATAATTTAGACACAACAACCCAGTTTCTTTTATTACATATCAAGAAGAGTAGCTTCATTCATAGTACAATCAATCAAGAGAGACCAAGGGGAAAATCTGCATAAACAGGATTAATAAAATAATCCCATTAAAAAAACCTAGAACCAGGCAAAGAAAAAAAAACAGCCATATATAAAGGCTGTTCATAGCAAACAAAAGAACTAATCTTAAGCTGCCATGGCCAAGTCCCGAGTCACACAGACATCCCCCGTAACCCTAAAATCGATCGCCTAAAATCGAAAACTACCCACAGACACACACACAACAAACACAACTTCAAACGAACAACAAACACGACTCGTACATACACGGCACAAAGTACTAGGATAATAATAATACCATAGAACATAAACTAAGCCAAGAAAAGCTTTTTATTCTGACACAATATGAAACCGGGAAGTAGTAGTAGTAGTAGTACCGAGTAGCTCGAAAACTCCGACGAAGCTTGAAGTGAAGCACCACCATAAGGGGGTAAAGTCGAGAAGCGGAGAAGCGGAACCCCATAACCGTATTTCTCAAGAAAAACCAAAGGCATTCAAAGAATCGGCCTCTCTCTTGGAACAGAGAGAGGACCGAAAAAAAAAAGTTTGCTAACAGGCTCGTCAAATACAAAAGGAAGCCTGCGAAAAACCCGATTTGCCTTTGATCTCCCACGGAAAAAACTTACTGTGGGTCCCACTTAACACAATCAACTTTACGAGAGAATATCGCACCTCCACAAATTCTCGGTGAGAATTTCGATTTTACCGCTGCTGATAGAGTTGCAGTGCTGGATATTCAATCCCAATAGTGTCTTCCCCATTTTCTCGAGTGCATGCATGCTCTCGTTCGATACCATCGAGCACCCCGACAGGGAAAGAATCTGCAGATTCGTGTGGACCCCACGCGACAAAGCATTGACACCTGCATCGGTGATCGTACACCTGGCAAGATCAAGATCGTTGAGCAATGGACAGCTGTCAGCAAGAGCCGTCAAGCTTTCGTCGGTGATTTTTTGGCAGTTTTCAAGATTGAGCAATTCGAGGGTCCCACCGTGGCACCTAGCTAGTGCGAACACAACTTCTTCGGTCAAATTCGAGCAGTGGCTCAGATTAACCCTAGCGAGCCCTGTTTGGCAAGATTCGAGAAGGGGAAGAAGGCCCCCGTCGGTGATCCCGCATAGTCCACTGAGATCCAAGTGGTGGAGATTCGGGCAGAGTTTACCGACCATAGCCAAGCTAGTGCTTCCAAATCCGGGGCAGTTCTTGATTGATAAAGATCTGAGAGATTCACATGGAGATAGCGACGGAATTTCCGTAGCTAAATCCTTGATTCCCATGCACTTTACCAACGAAACGGATTTCAATTTCGAAACACAGCTCGAGAGAGCATTCAATATCCCGATTTGTGTGATTCTGTTGCACTCTTCCAATTGCAAGCTCTCGAGCGAGGTCACACCTTTTGCAAAAGCTACGAGCCCTTTGTCGGAAACGAAGTAGCATTTACGGAGACAGACATGTTTGAGGTTAGGACAACCTTTTCCCAATGATTCGATGCTCAGATCGGTTATTCCCTTGCAAGAAGTGATGGTCAACGAAGACAACATTTTTAGACCTTTTGCTTGCCCCATCACCCAAAACCCCTTCTGGCTCACGTTTTGTAGCCCGCTTAAGATGAGATTAGTGACGGATTTTCCGTAGTGACCAATCACAGCGACGGAATAGTCGGTGATGTTCAGATTCTGAAGTTTGACTTTAGTCAACGCGTCGGAAGTCGACGACAATAGACTAGCGATACCCTTATCCCCGATAAAAGGACAATCTTTTATCGCAATCGAATTTAGCTTAGGGCAGAATTTAGCAATGGACTGAATACCCTCGTTTCCGATGTTTATGCAAGATTCGATTGTGAGTGAGGTCAAATTCGGACAATTTTCCGCAATTGCTGATAAACCCTTGTTCGTAATTAAAGGGCATTGGCAAAGATCGAGCTTTTCCAACGAATGGCATTCTCTCGCAATTTCGAATAGGCCTTCATCCCCGACAGAAGGCACGTTCCACAACGAGAGAGCCCTTAGCGAAGGGCAACCACGGGCAATCACCGACAAACCATGGTTAGTAACTCCCCGACTAGAGTTACTTCCTCGTATCGAAAGCTTTCCTAGTCCTCCACGGCTGGAGGTGCCGACAGCAATAGCCGCCAGCCTTATATCAGTTGCTTTTTTCCCCTCGACGCACCTCGTGAGGTACCCATCGCACGACTCCATCTCGATATCCGATTCTTGCGGGGTTTTGATCCGGTGAAACTCGGAGCACCGTACGCTGCTCAATACTGATAGCCACCGCTTGGAGACGCAAGCGGAGGTGCTCCTCTCCCGACCGTTGGATAAGTGCGTGAAGATCTCGAAGAGGCATTCGTCCGGGAGCGTGTCGATTGAGGGTGTTTTATCGTCGGCCAATAGGGTTGCGCCAAGTGTACATGGGCCGGCGATGCGGGACCTCTTTCTGGGCGGGCAGTAGACTTCCGCGTGGGACCCGATGGAGAAAACAAGGCCGGAATCTCCGGAACATGACGAACGGATGGAATTGAAATCGTCATCACCTGATTGGCCAATGGAAACAATTAAAGTCAGCTAAATTTGTCTATGTGGATCTCATATAATATAAAGATTGAATTTTACACTCATGTTTCTTCCAAGAAGGCAGAAAATAATCATATTTCATTAATGGAAGTATTTGGAACAAAATTGACACAAAATCAATAGAAGATCTAAACAAGGGGGTTTCCTTATACAACAGGCAAAATCCATACATTCTTTGTATAACTACATGATTTAATTAGGGGAAAGAAAAAAACTAGATCTTTATATGCTCAAACCCCAATTAAATAAAGAAGTTTCACAATTAATTAACAGTACAAAAAAAAATCAAGAAATCCATAATAATTAAAGAAAATAATAATAATTGAGAAAACTCACCCCTGTAATTAACAAGAGCAGGCATGGCTGTTCTTCACAAAAAAGATTGAATCTTTTCAACAAAATCAAGAAAGCCCAGATCAAGATTTCAGACAATACTTGCATCCGACGAAAAAAGATTAGCCAAGATTGAATCTTGAAAACCAAACCCCAACCACCGTAGGGGGAAAAACTAGAGAGAGAAAGATGAAGAAAAATGTGTAGCTTGTGTTTTCCTCTTTGCCCTTTTTACACACAGTGTTGTGTTTATATATCAGCAATTTATATATATAATATATATATATATGGGCCAACTGAATGCAACATGCATGAGTATACATACATACATACACACACTGTGTGTATATATATATTATATTAATAAAAAATAAAATAAAATCATTTGGTGAGGTGTCAAAAGTCTTTAGATACATGATGAGGGCCGGAAAAGGGAAACCTTGTGCTCTGAATCCTTTCATTTACACGGTTCAATGAATGGTGCCCGGAAACCGGTTTAGTCGGTCGTAGCTCTTTCATGCTGCCACTTGTTGTGCTCTCCTTTCTAAACCGGTACAGCTGGTCACCACCCCCACTATTATTTTTCTTCCTAATCATTTTTTAGGGGTAATTATAATTGCCCCTTCCCTTAACTATTAATATTTTTACACGTTCATTTTAATTGCAGTTTTAAATTTAATGGAATTTTCGAGATTATATGGAATATTATCACTTTTGTAACTGTTTTATTCCATCCGAACTCCACATTTTGAAGCAAGATGATCATAATATGTGTTTTTCGGCTTGTATATATCAGATTGTGGTGCATCAGAAACTGTATTTTTACACAAAACGAGTACAAACTAGAGCACATTCCACGAAATCTAGATGATTATGTTAAATTTAATTCCATAAGGGTGGAAAGTGTAAGAAAAAATCATAATTAAGGAATATATGTAATTATCCAAACAAGAGGGGTTTTTTCTTAAATTCACCATACTTCGGGGTGGTTTTCATTTACCCTTTCTATGTAATTGGACATGAAATCATGGGTAACAAATTGATAAAAAAAAAATTGGGACAATTAATTGAAAGTTCATCTTATCTTATTCTATTAGAAATTTAAATAATAGATTTTTTAGTTTGTAAGTTTATTTTCTAAGTTTAGTGTCATTTTCCTGCCAGTTTTTATAAGTTTACTGTTAATCCTCAAGGAATTTTCAACTGTTCACTATCATATTATAGATGTTTACTATCATTTCTTCTGGTTAAAATACTCGAGTTTTAGAAGTTCACTATTAGTTTGTAGTCAATTTATAAGAGATTTGCGCGTGTATCCAGCCAAGATCTTCTATAATAAATATTTTCTCTTATTTGACCCTATCTTCATCTCTTGTACGACTTTATCTTCTTTCCTTATATTCGCATAAAAGGTATCTCTAATCCACGTTTTTTATTAGTCTTCTCCTGCTTGCCGCCTATTACGCACTTTCCTTTCATGTGTGCGAACAAATTCCGTAGCTGCGACCTCTTTTCTTGACGAGCATGATCGCTCTTATAGACCTCCTTCTAAGACGAACTCTCAAGCCCATGCATAATGCAGATTGCGTTGATCGACTCCCTTGGGCTTATTATTTTCTTGGATCTAACTCTAGAGCGCTCAGCCCGAAGCTGCCAAATTGACCCCCATCACACTCTCTTCGTTCTGAAATTACAATTTTCATTTAGGAAAGTTTAAATAAAAAATAAATAAATCCCTAGTTTTCGCCATTAATTTAATTAAAAGAAAGAGGGAAGATAAATACAATTGAATGCACATAACTTATAAGTTGGTGTGACAAATTCAATTTTGTCTCCACATGTATGATGGAGAATAATTATAACCAATCTAGCAAAGATGATATAGTATATGTGTTTCTTTAAATCCCACTACGGTGATAATTAAATTGGTTTGTTTTAATTTATTTGCCAATAAATATAGCAATTTGGTCAAGTGGTGAATTCATTACCATCAATTATTACATGTATAATAAAATTATGCTATAGCCTTTACATACATATTGTAAATAAAATAATGGGAAAATTATAATAAATTAATAATTTGCATGGTTTTATTGTAATATAAAATCTAGATATATGCAACTTGGTGTGACAGTGCATCGTATGTGGTATGGTTACCAAAATGCATGCCCCAACTTTGTTAATCTTTTAACAGCTTGTTCATTATGGATTTATTTAATTTAATTAATAAAAGTATTCAGCCCATAGATATTATAATTTCATTTATAAAAGTATTCAGCCCATAGATATTGTTGGGTAGGGTTGGAAACCGAACGGAAATGGTCGAAGTTAGCATTTTCCGAAAAATATAAAATAATTCTAATTCAGGGTTTAGAAAAATCGAAAATTGAAATTTCATATGTATACTTAGCAAAAACACAGAAAAAATGGATTTTTTTTTTTTGGGATTTCAAAATGAAAATCGTTGTTTCAGTATCAAATTTTTTTGGATCGCCGTAGCGGAATTCGAAGATTTCGTTTCAATTATTTACCTAGGTGGGTGTGTATGCGCGCGCAGTTCAATTTGCTTTATATATAGAAAAAGGTTCATGTTTTCCCGTATTGCCGTTTCTGCGTCAGTGCAACATAGTGTAGAACTATTCCACTTCGATATGGAACCAACTAATTTTAAATAAAATATGATATTATTAGTGTCACATCTAAATAAAATTTAAAGCTGTTTTAAAAAATAAAAAAAAAAAATAATAAAAACATTATTTTCTAAACAAATACTAATTCTAGAGCAGATTCAGACCTCATCAAAGTCATCTAAAAGAGCTGCATGCAGCAGATAGTGGACAAAACTCTGTTTTGTGTATGTCTGAATTAAGTGAATTTAGTTCATGTTTGACTTCTAGCACACCGGTCAACTTTGACCTTTTCAAAAAAATTAAGGATAATTTTTTTTATTGATCACTCAAGAATTATCTCAGTTACCACATCCACCAATTTTGAATTGCACTAATTTGAAGATTTTACTATTAGGAATTGAGTCTTGTATTTTTTCTTCTTATTTTAATTTTAACCAATATAAAAAAATAAAAAATAAATCACAATTATTCATCGAAATTGTTGCAGCATTGGGATCTGGGGAACAGAGATTGTGCATTGTACTTAAATTTGATTAACAAAACCAATTGACTTATATTTTATTGTGTGAATTTCATGGGCATGCACCAAACATTTGATGAAGAGTACAAAAGTCTAAAGAAAAGATCTAAATTCAATGGAAACATTGAACTTAATAATAATTAAATAATTTTAATATATGTCAACAAATTTTGAGGTTATCTTAATTTGAGGTTGATTTACATTGTTTTTTTCACAATCATAATTAAATTGATATCGATGTAGTCATTAGTAGAGTCAGGATTTTAAGTTTGGGGGCCGAATGCATTAAAAATTTGAGAAGGGCCGTTATTGCTATTGTACACAATATATTAGAGATTTGAGAAATGTTGGAGGGGCCATGACCCCCGACCTTATACAGACTCCGCCACTGGTTATAGTCTTTACTGGTTTACATAATCAAATTGGATCGTTTTAACAATACTTAATCCCGTCGATCTAATAGAAAATAATTATATTGTTTTAGCATATTGCATATAAATTATTATGGTAATTCAACAAATTATTTAACTATGTATACTAAAATAAAGAATTTCAATGTCCAATGTATGCGATTTAGCCAAAAATGACATGTAGCTCATAAATTAGGTATGGGTGGCATAAAATATTAAATAAAAGAATTTGTATAAGAGTGGAAAAATTCAGAAATTGGTCTAGAATCACTGGATCCTTTATTTTGATTTTGTTTATTAATTAATTTCTTTTTGTTCAACAAATTTTGTACAAGGAATCTAATGCAACACGACACCATAGTGCATTGTCCCGGAAATTTAGACAGGGGACTTTAATATATATATATATATATATATATATATATATATATATATATATATATATATATATATATATATATATATATATAATTAAATATTTTGGTTCCCTCTGTATATGATAAGACTATTAGTGACCCTAATATTTTATTTATTTATTATCACTACAAATTAGTTTAGTTGTATTATAATAAAAAGTTTGAAATCAGGAGCTCAAATTTAATTTTCATTACATACATTTATTATATGGGATATGATAAATGTTGTTCGAGCTTTAATAATACCGTTCGATTTTAAATGTGATTTTGATCATTTTTTTTTCCAAATTTTGCAAAACCGAAAAATAGAATTTGTAGTATTTTTGAGTTAGTTTTCTAATCCAACTTGAATCACAAAAATTGGATGTCGGACGAGAAAGATATACATGAATCAATAGATACTGCCCACAACTTCGATGAATTGAGGTATCTAAAATTCAAAATGTGACTCATTCATGCATAACTTTGTCACACGACATCCAATCTAGCAGATTAAGTTGGATTAGAAAGTTAACCCCAAAGGACTATAGTTTTTGTTTTTCGAATTTTGCCAAAAATCAAAATATGTCAAAATCAGGTTCGAATACAAAACGACATTATTTAAAATTAAAACGACATTTAACATTTCAGTAATTATATACACTATTTCTATTTATTAAAAAAAAGTTCAAGATCGAGCTCGAGAATTTTTGTCCAATCGATTTATTAAGTTCAGGAATCGGCTCAACTCATTTACCAATCTCTAGTGTCCCTCCTATTCATGATTGCATAGTAAAAAAAGAAAAGGAAATGGCTAGCAATGAACACAAGTGATAAATTATAAGGGTAAATCACAACCGCCCTTGAAGTAAGGTCTATTTACAAAAAACCCCATCATTTTTCTATAATTACATCAATCCCCTGTAATTTGTAGATTCCTTACAATAACGTCATTTTTCTAGGGGTGGATGTAAGAAATTTACAAAGTACATGGAGTTTAATGTAATTTCTGAAAAATGAGGATTTTTTTTGTTAATAGACTTTACCTCAAGTAGGTGGTTGTAATTTATCATAATTAATAATAATGTATTCCAAATATTAAAACATTACACTCACAATACATATAATTAGTCAATATATTTAATATCTAATTATATATTATATAACAAGGGACAACCAGACAAGCAAATGGAATAAATGCAGAATTTTGTTGGCAAATGAAATAAGCCACACGCCTCTGCATTTGTTAATAAACAACCAATTAAAACAATTTCTATCAAGTATTTTGAAAGGCGCTTCATCGAATCTACGTAGCGTATTTCACCAGGTGTAGGTTCTTCAAAATCGAAAACAATGGCCCAAATAAAATCGAACTTAAAATTCAATTTTCCTCGTATAGTAGCAAGACAAATTATCAGTAACTAGTTTAGAATCATAATGCATGAAAGATATTGTTATTGAGTTTACTCATTTTCGAGCTTTCGAATCGCTAAACCCTTTTTGAAACTATACATTAAAAAAATTAAACATTGTTTAAAAGGTCAAACTCACAGAATATATTAGCCATGACCGAAATACACCGTGGGCTTTTCCTCATTCGTACAACCCTTCTTGGTCCCATATATCCACAAGAAAATCGACCATTTCCTAAAATATATTGTAGCTCTCAGTAATTAGAATTATTCCGTATTTAAGAAATATAAATAAAAATTAAAAAAAAAAAAAAAAAGGCAAGCAAGAAATGCAATAACTCACAGAGAGAGGAACCGGCTCTGCGAACCGCTTGCTCGTCCCTAGCAAGTTCTCGTAATTCGCATTCCAACTACAAAACATTTGAAGTTAATTCACGAAACACAAATAAATAAAACGAGTTCTTGAACCACATTCGTAAAATAAAATTTAACAATTAGCTGAAAAAAGAAACGAGCACGCCAAAATGTAAGTATATACTTTAATACGGGCTCCTGAACTTTTCCTTTCTTTTGTGGCTTTTTGTTTCCACACCATTGAAGCCTGCTCTGGTTCCATAGCCTAAGACCTGCACCCCCAAATCCCACATATTTATTATAAAAATTAGAAAAAAAAAAAAAATACCCAGCTCGAGTCAATTACCATGATCTACAAACTCGGGATGATTGGAAGCAGTGGTAATGCCGAGGTTTTGATTGGATACAGTGATTGAGGAGAAGCTTCTTTGGGACTGCATTGAGGGGTTGTACTCAAGGTCACAAGTGCTTGTACTCCAAAAGTCGTCGGAGAGGCCAGATTTGACCGCTTGGCCTTGAATTCTCAGCCCGTTTGAGGGCTTGTCCACGGCAATAATAGGGTCCGATTTAACACAGCAGCCAATACAACTTCTGTTCTGTTACAAACAGTGTTTATACACACATTTGCCATAAATGATGGACAAAAAAGATAGATGACAAGGTTTTCTTCGGTAGATATAAGACCAATTAAAAAAACGAGAAACATTTGCCCAAATAAATGTGCATGGCGTTACGGTTTTGGGGAGACATTTTTTTCGATTTCAATTTCATTATGTTAGTGAACAATTGTGTATCCAATCTTGGGCCAAAATGAAGAAGAAAGAAGAAAAGAGAAGATTAATGAAAAGGAAAACAAAACATGAGGAGATTAGTGCTTTATCGACATATGAAGTGTTTTCAGACAGAAGTACGATAGTGAAGGTAAATACATGTTTTTGCTTGTCGTCTCTACCGTATTGTACAACGGTAAAGAGACTGAAACCTTTTCCTACCTAAAAGATTTAAGACACAAAATGGGGATGAATTAACAGACACCCCTCTTTCCCGCAAAGGCGCAACCAATAACCCACAAAAACCTAGGACAGTTCCAGATTGTTGAAAAAGGAACCGGAAATTTTGCAATACTGAAACTCTTGATAAAAAATAAGCGAAGATTTTTTTCTAATTCAAGTTATATCCGTTTGTTGAAAACATCAAATTAGTTCGTGTAAATCTCACTTCTAAACTAAACAAATATTTGCCTATTCATAATTTTTTTTCGAATCCTCAAACAATTTTAACCAGGAAATCGAAAGAAAATATTTAAACTTAAACTAGAGAAATCCAAGATATATAGGCAGCACATTATCCTTTTCTTGGAAATATCGGGATGAGCAAATGAGAAGAAGAGATAGTTTCAGCATCACTAAATTCAATCCCAGATCATCAAATTCAAAGGTTTCGATAAATCAAATTGAGTTTCGGATTGGAGTCTTGAAGACATATTAAAACCACCTATTGTCGTAAAATGTTGAATTATATGCTCTTTGCAGCAAATAATCGAACACCTCGTCCTCGCAATTCACAATTCCGTTAAAACATCAAACCGAAACTTCCACCCCTTCTATAATTGATTTCACAGAATCCCGATTTCATACTTCATAGCAAAGTAAAATTGCCACAACTAGAATAACAAAAACATCATACCTCGGACTCTTAAAAGGCAAAAAAAAAAGTAAAACAAAATAAATAAAAAAAAGATAAAAATCAGAGAACATACCCCATGCAATTAAGGAAGTGACTGATCCAAGAACTGAAAGAGCTGTAGAGCATCATATATATACAAAAACACTCCACAACATGTATCTATCTATCTATCTTCGGTTCACCCAAATCAAGAACCCATCTCAACCAATCAAATCCCTAATTTACAAAACGGAAACCCCTGTCAACAATTCACCATATACAGTATCAATTTCACAAAACAAAAAAAAATCCCTTAATTCCAAAACAATTATCAACAACAGAAAAACACGGAGGAGGCGGGGCGAATTATTTCACCTGATGAGAAGGGGGAGGCGCCGCCGCGGGTGGGGGTTTTCTCCTTGCTAAAATGGTTTTTGGGTGAAACGGAAAATGTGTTGTGTAGTGGTGATTATTTTAACGGTAATTAAGCACAGGTGTTTTGTTGGCTAATACGATTATTGACCATTTTGACCTTATCCACTTTAGTGTGTTTTATTACTAACCAAATAAATGTTTTACCTGTGATAGTGACGGATTAACTTTTGGATAATAAATAATAAGGATTTAGTAATTAATTGTCTATCTAATATTGAAATTCTTTGACAGAGACATAAAGTGGAATAATATTGAGTGTGATATTCTTGATTTAGTCTAGAAAATTCAATTATTATTATTTTTTCTTTTTGTTTTTTTTTTAATGAAGGAACATAATTCTCGTATAATAGCTTGCAAATCGTACGAAAAATGTAAACGACAGTATACTAATAATTTGTGACAAGCTCAACCTAGCGACCGCTGTCCGTTGATAATTGAGACAAACAACAAACTCACTCGCATGGACCCAGTTCCTTTTTTTTTTTCATTTTATCACATATTGGACCGGGCTGTAAATTGGAACGAAATATTTTTATTTGGGTCGGTTACGATCCATTTTTTTTTTTTTTTTTTGGGATTATTAATTTTAATTTCAAATTCCAAAAAAATAGATGTATGGTTTTTTTCTGTAACAATTTTTTGTTATATATATTTATATATATATATAATATTTCGATTTTCGATCTGATTTATATCATGTTTTATCATTCGTATATCCGAAATTTTGATTTTCGATTTTTTTTTTTTTTTTTTAACGAATTGAAATTAGTTTTCTATTTTCGGGATAAAAAAAATTGGATTTGTTTCCATAAGTATTAAATTATAATTTAGGGACTATTAGTGAGAACCCCCTCTAACATTATTTTAATAAGGATGGGTCCAGCTCCTTTTCCTTTATTAGTGAGAAACCCATTCTTTTTATATTCTCAAATTTACCCTCTCACTATTCACTACCTATTATCCACTAGTTTGATATTTTTTTATTTTTTATATTTTAATTTTAATTTTCGTTTTTTTATTTATTTCTTCTTTAAAAAATAATAATTTAAAAAAAAATTATATTTTTTTTAATATTTTTCTTTAAATATTCCTTTTCTATATTCTTTTAGTTTTCAGTTAAAACAACTATATGCCAATAAAACGACTATTATTAAAACGACTATTATTAAAACAATTAGTATTAAAACAACAATTCATTAAGTTAATTATATATTATATTATTTCCATTGTAAGATTAATTAATTGTTTAATCAAAACATCTCCAAAAACCACTATTTGTTAAATCAACTATTTATTCAAACAATAAAATTGTTGTGTAAAAACAACTATATTGCTATACGAAAACAACTATATTAAATCAACTACAAATTATTGAAATCCACAAAAGCAAAAGCAAAAAAACACACCAAAATTCCAACAAAAAACGACTATTATTGAAACCAACTACAACCGTAACGAAAACAACTATATCTTTTTGAGTAACACGAACACAATTTCAACAAACAAGCCTCCCAAACAGTATCTCCTCCTCGAGGTCAATCTATTCCATTACAGCGGTGGTGGAGGCGGTCTTCCGACGAGGATTCTAGGAATTCTTCCAAAAATCGAAAGAACAAAAAAAAAAAATATATTGTTGCAAAAGATACCCATCAACAACTATACAAAATAGTAGAATAACGAAAACAACTATACAAAATAGTTGAATAACGAAAACAACTATATTGCTGCAAAAGATACTGTTGGCGCCATATTTCCGGTTATTGAAGATCGAGGAAATCCGCCAAGTTTTGGAATTAAAAGATTGGCAAAGATTTGTTTTCCATATTTATTTTGGAATTTATTAGAGTCCTATTCTTATAATACTTCTATTAGGACTTAGATTTATTTCCATGTATTGTATTCTAGTTAGGTATCTTTTGTACTTATCTAGAATAGAAGTAGAAATCAACTAGGATTCTATTACCTAGTTAAATAGATTTCTTGAGGTTCAAGTTAGGTCTTAGGGCTTATTTTCGTGGCTATATAAGCCTCCAAGACATACAAGAACCGTGAGCATTATTTGGGAGAAAAACCTCTTCATAGCATCGAAGTTTTGCCAAGGCGTTCTGCGGAGCAGGACTGTGCCATCGTTGCACTGTGCCAACATATACAGATTTGCTGTATAGATCTCAAGGGAGATCAGCCGCGTTTTCTGAAGGGAGTTCAGGCTTGAAGAAAGTTCAAGGCACGCGGGTGGAGCTGCTGTTGGAAGAAACACGAAGTTCGAGTTGTGTACAAGAACGGCATATTACATAAAGAGGGAGTCTTTAGTGTTTTTAATAAGTCCTATTAATGTACACTGTAAATCTGAACTAGTGAAATCGTGTTTGCAGGTCCACGTGGATGTAGGGCACATTTGTGTCTGAACCACATTAATTCCTTGTGTTCATTTATTTGCTTTAAGTAGTTTATAACTGTGTTAACACAAGAATTATAGTTGTAACTGAATACTGTTTCCACAACTTAACTGTTACAACTTAGGTTAATTGATTTCTATAGGCATATAAATCAACAATTGGCATCAAGAGCCTCTCACTAGATAAACATAGTGTGTGATTTTGGGAATTTGATTTATTTGCCATTTTCTTCCATAGGTACTATGAATGCTCATATGGCAGGCGGTTCCACGACTCGCCCACCACTGCTTACTGGAACCAATTACTCTTATTGGAAGACCAAGATGAAGATGTTCATCAAGTCAATGGATGAAGATGCATGGCGCACAGTTCTGACTGGCTGGAAACGACCTGTTGCCACAGATGAAAAAGGAATTCAAACTGAGAAACATGAAAAAGACTGGAGCAAAACTGAACAGATTGCCGCAAATATGAATTCCAAAGCATTGAATGCCATATTCAATGGAATTGATATCAATCAATTCAAAATCATCTCAGCATGTGAGTGTGCCAAGGAAGCATGGGAAAAACTTCAAACAGCCTATGAGGGGACTACCTCTGTTAGATTATCAAAACTTCAGATGCTTGCTACTCGTTTTGAGGATCTTCGGATGGAGGAAACTGAAACCGTGAGCGATTTCAACTCCAAATTATGCGACATCGCAAATGAAGCCCATGGCCTCGGTGAAACTTACCCTGAAGTAAAACTTGTTCGCAAAGTGCTGAGATCTATGCCAGACCGGTTCGCATATAAGGTCACTGCTATAGAGGAAGCAAGTGATGTGGACTCATTGCGGCTTGAAGATCTGATCGGAAATCTACAGACCTTTGAAAACAAGCTGAACATCAGTAGAATGGATAAAGAGAGAAAAATCGCTTTACAAACTGTGTCTGTTGTGACACCATCCGTGCCCTCAGCTCCCATGACAGCACTCGAAGTCAAGCTAACAAAATCCATGTCTCTAATAGCCAAAAACTTCGGAGAACTCGTGAAAATGAATGGACATCCCAGAAGTCCTACAAACAAGCGAGAAGTTAGGAAGGGGATTCGATGTAGAGAATGTCGTGGCTATGGTCATATTCAATCTGAATGTGCAAACACTCAGAAGAAGCAAGGAAAATCACTTGCCACAACCTGGAGTGACGATAACTCTGAATCTGATGATGACAGTGAAGCAAGTGATGCTGAAACAAGTATTGACTTCTGTGGTACATGCAGGGTTACTGGCGTGACACAAGATGATGTCATATGCACTGAGTCGTCACACCATAGGATCACTAAAGTGACACAGGGTGATGTCACATGCACTGAGCCACCACACCTCAGGTATGCTACTCGTAATCTCGAGAATCATAGAAATTTAAACACTGTTTTTTTGCCCACAGGAGAAGAAGATTCAGAGGATGATGAAGAATGCTCCATTGACATGATTCAACAGCAACTGAATGATCTTCTAAAGCAATGTCATGAGGTTAGTGATGAAAACAAGCGTTTGTACGACGCAAGTAAAGGGACTGGAAGAGGAGAATGAAGGTAAAACATGATTTTGCTTTGAAAGATATTGACAATCTAAAAGAATTGTTGAGACATTTGCGAAACAACTGAAGTGTGACGACTCCCCTGTCGACGTTAGAGGCGGTCCAGTCCAGTCAGTAAGTTAAATCGCACTACGATTCTTCCTTCAAAAAGGTTAGATGAAATTTTAAATGCTCATCCCTCAAATCCCTGATAAACTTGGTCTTGGCTATATTGGGAGTAAGTTCGATGGTAAACCTAATCCAAATCGAAAAATTAATTTTGTGAATAATACTGTCACACCTACTCCACAACATGTTGCCTCACAGTCTTATACAAAAAGGTTTGTGCCAACTTGTCATTTCTGTCACAAAGTAGGACATGTTAGGCCAAAATGCTTTAAAAGATGGAAATTGATAAATAAGAGTTTAGCATATCAATCATCCAATTCCGCTGCATGGGATCACAATTCCCAAAGAAGATACTCTGATAATAAATGGATGAATAAGTATAATGCAAACTGCTTTCCTGCTATTCTTTCTTTAAAAGCATGTACTACGAACTCTTGGTATTTTGATAGTGGTTGCTCCAAGCATATGACAGGTGTACCTAATTACTTAAAGAACCTGCATAATGTGTCTGGTGGACAAGTTACTCTTGGTGATGGAAACAAGGCCTTTGTGAAAGGAGAAGGTAACTTGGATGTTGGAGGATTACCTAACCTTGACAACGTTCTGTATGTAGAGGGTTTGAAATCAAACCTACTCAGCGTAAGTCAGCTATGTGATCTATACGACTCAGTGTTGTTCACCAAGCGTAAGTGTGAAGTGTTTGATCGAAACCACAGGTGTGTTCTATCTGGTTATAGATCCTCTGATAATTGTTATAAAATTGATCAAACTGACCAAGTTGAACAGTGTCCCCTCACCACCCCTGATATCACAGATATGTGTTGTCATCGACTGGGGAATTTGAATTTTCAGGATCTAACACGAAATATTAATGCAGGTTGTGTGAAAGGTGTTCCCCAACTAAACTCCAATACACCAGATTTATGTGGCGAATTTCTAATGGGGAAACAATCTGAGAGTACTGGAAGAGAAATACCAGAAGACAAAATCACAGAAGTATCAGTACCAACATCTTATGTCACAACTGAAGATGTTACCACTGGTAAAGAAGGTATGAAAACTTGCAATAAGCCCAAGGTTGACTACCAGGAAATGGTAAGGTATGTCTATCTCACTTCCACTGTTGAACCAAAAAACATCAAAGAAGCAATTCTTGATGAATTTTGGGTGTTAGCCAAGCTTGAGGAACTTGAGCAGTTTTCTCGAAATGACATGTGGGAACTGGTTCTGAGCAATGACAAGGTAAAGCAACTTGAGGATGAGGTATTTATCTCACAGAGCAAATATGCCAAGAACGTGGTAAGTAAATTTGGGTTGCAAAAGGCAAAGCCTTTAACAACACCAATGACCTCAATTGAGAAGTTGGGACGAGATTGTGATGGCACAGACGATGATTCCACACTATACAGGAGCTTGATAGGAAGTTTGTTTTATCTTTCTGCTAACAGATATGATATTCGTTTCAGTGTAGGTATTTGTGCTAGGTACCAAGCAAGCCCTAAAGAGAGTCATTTGAGTGTTGTAAAGCGCATTATCCGATATGTTAGTGGAACACCCGAATTGAGAAAATGGTATTCAAAAGATACTAACAATTGTCTTGCAGGGAACGGTGATGCTGACTGGACAGGAGATGTGGATGACAGAAAAAACATCATAGGAGGCTGTTTCTACATGGGTAACAATTTGGTATCTTGGTACAGTAAGAAACAAAATTCCATTTCCTTATCTAATGCTGCGTGTGAATACATAGCTGTAGGTAGCTGTTGCACTCAACTCTTCTGGATGCAACATATGTTAAATAACTATGGCTTTCGTGAAAAAGAGTTGCATGTTCTTTGTGATAATGAGAGTGCCATAAATATTTCAAAAAATCATGCTCAACATTCTAGGACAAAACATATAGATATTCGTCTTCATTTCATCAGACAATTAGTTGAGCAGAAACGTGTGACTATAGATTATGTGTCCACAGACAATCAATTAGCTGATATTTTTACAAAGCCCCTCGATTTCCTTAGGTTTGATTCCTTGCGTAAAGCGCTTGGAATTTGCCATGTGCAAAACTGAATTTTCTATGATAAGTGCAATTAATGTTTGTGTCCGGATTGCACTTGAATTCTTTAATCGGACATTATATGTGTCACCTATAATTGTGACATCATTGTTTTTGGACTAGGAATGTTTGGAAGTTCATTTTGACTAATTGTTTGTGTGTTAGTTTTTGAGAATTAATTTTTTGTTTCCACAAATAACCATGATAGAAATGTGCTGCCCCCTCTATCGGGAGTGATCAATGACTATGACCTCATTCATCTCAAAGATCATACCTCTATTGGG